TCGTGGGCCCCCTGTTGCTCCACCGACGTACTCCTTCCTCCTATATATACCTACATACCCCCAAACGATCGGATACGGAGCCAAAACCCTAATTCCACCGCCGTGACTTTCTGTATCCACGAGATCCCATCTTGGGGTCTGTTTCGGAGCTCCGCCGGAGGGGGCATCCATCACGGAGGGCTTCTACATCAACACCATAGCCCCTCCGATGAAGTGTGAGGAGTTTACCTCAGACTTTCGGGTCCATAATTATTAGCTAGATGGCTTCTTCTCTCCTTTTGGATCTCAATACAATGTTGTCCCCCTCTCTTGTGGAGATCTATTCGATGTAATCTTCTTTTTGCGGTGTGTTTGTTGAGATCGATGAATTGTGGGTTTATGATCAAGTTTATCTATGAACAATATTTCAATCTTCTCTGAATTCTTTTATGTATGATTGGTTATCTTTGCAAGTCTCTTCGAATTATCAGTTTAGTTTGGCCTACTAGATTGATCTTTCTTGCAATGGGAGAAGTGCTTAGCTTTGGGTTCAATCTTGTGGTGTCCTTTCCCAGTGACAGTAGGGGCAGCAAGGCACGTATTGTATTGCTGCCATCGAGGATAACAAGATGGGGTTTTTATCATATTGCATGAATTTATCCATCTACATCATGTCATCTTGCTTAAGGCGTTACTCTGTTTTCATGAACTTAATACTCTAGATGCATGCTGGATAGCGGTCGATGAGTGGAGTAATAGTAGTAGATGCAGGCAGGAGTCGGTCTACTTGTCTCGGACGTGATGCCTATATACATGATCATACCTAGATATTCTCATAACTATGCTCAATTCTGTCAATTGCTCAACAGTAATTCGTTCACCCACCGTAAAATACTTATGCTCTTGAGAGAAGCCACTAGTGAAACCTATGGCCCCCGGGTCTATCTTCATCATATTAATCTTCCAATACTTAGTTATTTCCTTTGCTTTTTTACTTTGCTTTTATTTTACTTTGCATCTTTGTCACAAAAACACCAAAAATATTATTCTATCATATCTATCAGATCTCACTCTCGTAAGTGACCGTGAAGGGATTGACAACCCCTTATCGCGTTGGTTGCGAGGAGTTATTTGCTTTCTGCAGGTACGTAGCCTCCTACTGGATTGATACCTTGGTTCTCAAAAACTGAGGGAAATACTTAGGCTACTTTGTTGCATCATCCTTTCCTTTTTAAGGAAATCCAACGCAGTGCTCAAGAGGTAGCAACCCACACGCGCGTGGACTGGGTGGTGACTGTGTGGGCTGGAACCGAGTCACCCACACGACGCAGCTAGCAACCGCGCGCCGCGAGTCGTGTGGTCGAGCGCTCTAACGCCCACACAACACGCTATGCCTATGTGGCACTAAAATTCCAATAGATTTCTTTAGGATTCATGCAAAATAGAATCAACATGCATCAACACGTGTGGGCGAAGTGCAAATATGCCACACGTGTGGACGTTATTATTTGGGTAAAATTTTGTTAGGACCAATCCACGGAAGGTCCAATGATTTGACAAGGATTCAGCCGTATACGAACACGCGATAATCCTACATCTACATAGCACGCTACGGAGACTTACGAAAGCTTCCTAACTAAATATCTCTGCCCTCTCCCCCCCCCCCCCCCCCCTTAACGGGGTACCTAGGTCTAGCATTACTCATGAACACGTAGGACGACGCAGGTTTAGAGCAATATCCATCGCCATTGGCACGGCACTCGTTCGAACGGATACTCGCCTCGTTTAGATCTTCCCAGGTCTAGCATTACATTGACTTCATCGCATTGTCAAAAAAATCAAGATCGATAAAAGTCTAACATTTTTCATACCCCTACAGGTACTTCAAAGAAAGATAATAGGGATATTGACATGCTAGTTCTTCCAGCAGCTTAGTTTCTTTTCAAACCGACCCTCAAGGAATTTCCACTCCTTGTTTGACAGCTTGCGATGGTGGATTGAAATTGGATTGAAATTCCTAGGTAGGTGAAAGGTAAAGAACTTATTTCACAATCAAATGGTTGTTTATATGCATCTTGTTCCTCTTTGGCCCTTCCAAAGAAGAAAATTTCGCTTTTGTGAAAAATAATTTTTAGCCCTGACAATTGTTCAAAAAGACAAAGCACTAGTTTCATATTTCTATGCTTTGCGATATCATGTTCCATGAAAATAATTGTATCATCGGCGTATTGAAGCATGGAGACCCTGTCATCAAAGATGAGGAACGAGCCCTCCTACTCGGCCATTTTCTTTGGCTCTGCCGACAAGTATTGTCAACATATCAGCGACTATGTTGAACAATATAGGAGACATCGGATCTCTTTGTCTTAATCCTTATGTGTCTGAAAATAATGACCTATGTCATCATTAACCTTAATCCCAATGCTATCTTTTTGGATGAAAGAATTCACCTGTTTCCTTCAGGGCCATTTGACCTTAGTACGCTTTCTCAAAATCCACCTTGAAGATTACTTCATCTAATTTCTTCGAATGGATTCCATGTAAGGTTTCTTGTAAGAAAACGACTCCCTCGACGATATGTCTCCCCGGCGTAAAGGCGGTCTGACTTAGCTGTACCACCGAATGTAATGTTTCCTGTGTAAGAAGTTGAACCCTTTCATTTCCTTTCACGGCTAATCTGAACCTACACCCAAAGTTGGACGCTCAGATTGAAAGTTAAACGGAACAGTTTTATTCATGACGAACTCAGCCAGATGTGTGAATCTTTTTGCACGTGAAAATCAGCTCACTATTCTGTACAAACTCTGTCCAAGAATTGGCGTCAGGCGTCGAGTCTTGTGATGATCATCGGTAGCCCGTACTTTGGCCGCAGCGTGATCACGTCGGTGGGCGCGTGCACATAGCTCGGGGAGAGCGACAGCGCAAACCTCCGGAGGATGACGGCGACCTCGGCCTTGGCCTGGACCATGGCGAAGTTCTGCCCGATGCACGTCCTGGGGCCCATGGAGAAGGACAAGAGCGCGTTGGCGTGGCTCGCGGCCCGGGCGGCGCCGCCGCCGCCGGCGTCGAACCTCATCGGGTTGAACTCGTCGGCGTCCTCGCCCCACACCTCCCTGTCCCGGTGCATCGTCGCGATCGGGATGGTCAGGAGCGCGTCCCTCGGCACGGTGACGCCGCCGAGCTCCACCTCCGACCTCGTCCTCCTCCGGATGAGCGGCACCGGGCTGTACAGCCGCAGCGTCTCCAGCAGGAACAGGTTCACCAGCCTCAGCCTGCTGAGCGTGTCGTAGGTGGGGACCTGATGATCCCCGCCGCACTCCCGCAGCACCTCCTCCCTGAGCTTCCGCTGCCACTCCGGGTGCGTGCCCAGTAGGAACATGGTCCAGTTGAGCATGTGCAGGCTCGTCTCCTGCCCGGCGAAGAAGAAGGTCTTGCACTCGTCGATGATCTCGTCCATGCTCAGCAGCGGCGCCTGCCCCTGCTCCGGCGCGCACGCCTCCAGCATCAGCCCCAGCAGGTCGCTCCCATAGCCATCCGTGTCCTTGGCTGCGAGCCTGTTCTCGATGATCTCCACCAGCGTGCTCCGCATCATCTTGTTCAGCTTCCACAGCCTCATGTTCTTCTTGGTTGGCACGAACCTGGGGAACAAATCAACGTGGGACGCCACAGTTCAGTGTATCTCTGAAACCACATCCGGAACGTGCAGTGCTATGGTTGATCTGATCAGTGGTGCACCTGAATCCTGGAATGTAGTCGGTCCAGAGGGTGGAGAAGGCGATTAACTGGATCTCATTCAGCGCCAGGAAGATCTTCCGGCCCTCTCTGTAGCTGCTCCCGAAGGCGGTGCGCGAGATCACATCGGCGGTGAGCTCCTCGAACTGGCTAGTCAGCTCGATCTCCTGGCAATCTTTCTTCCCATGACTGGCCAACTGCGCCTCCCACCGGGACGCCATCGACAGCACGCAGTCCACCATTGTCGACGTCATCACCTATATATCAAAGGTACGTAGCAACAGGCTCGCAAAACCAGCACACCACCAAGCAAGCACACTGCTAATTAAAAGGAGTGCCTAAGATGATGTACGTACGTACCTTGAGCTTGTCCAGGTTGAAGGCCGGGTGCAGGACCTTCTTGTGGCGGTGCCAGACGTCGCCGTCGGTCATGACGAGGCCCTTGCCCACCAGCCGGACGATGGGGTTCATCCAGTTCTTGGGGAACAGCCCCGTCCGGTCCGACAGCAGCTGCTTCGCCATGCCCAGGTCGGCCACGCACATGTTGGGCGTCGACCCGAACCAGTAGAGGAACACGCGCCCTGCACGCACGCGCTGGCCGCTTTCAAAACACTACGACACTTCAGCTTAGCTACTTCGGGTTCGGAAGCTAACTGTGTTACCGTAGAGCGGGATCCATTGGCGGAACTGGGGCTGGGAGATGGGGATGAAGTCGTGGGAGGAGACGTCGAGCACGAGGCCGGCGCCGGCCGCGCGGAGCCGCCGGATGTCGCCGAGGTTCCCGACGAAGAACCTGTACCCCGGCCCGCGCACGCCCTGCCGCGCCAGCCTCCCGGCGATGGCGCGCGGCCTCCACACGAGGCGCACCAGCGCGTTGAACAGGCACGAGGCCAGCACGGCCGACGCCAGCGCCGCCCAGACCGTCCAAGCGGTGGCGACCGTGGCCATGGTCATCACCTCACCTCAATAAGCTGGGCGCAGCTGCTGCATGCGTGTCTGCCGAGTGCGCGTACACCTTGGAGGTTAAGTAGGTGCAGTTGTGGTGAAATTCCGATGGATAGGCGCATAGAGAATTCCGGTAACAAGTTGGACACTAGACGGTGGTATGATTGTCCTCTGCGCGTTTTCGTAAATGTAGACGTAATGCGATCCCATGACTGATTAGATTATGGTTCTCGGATTGAGACCCGTGGCTTCATGGTGACGTGATCGATGGGACACGAGCTTCATGAACAAACTCGTTTCCAAACTGCCAGACTTCCAACAAGCCCAACAGGACAAATGAGGTGCGGCCGGTGTGCCGGGAGAACTTCCTCCGAAATTCCTCCGGATCTGACCCTGCTTGTCTTGTGAGAACTACTAGGCAGTCTTCTCCTGTCTTGGGCGAAAAAGATCCCGTCTTCTGTTAAAAAACACAAAACACTCGGTCTGACGCACAGTAAGACCGGGCTCCTGTAGCGAATTCGGAAGTGTACTATAGCAACCACACCACTGTAGCCCCCCTTTAAAAATGTGAACGTTTTTTACGCGACTATTTTTGTAAAATCATGATATTTTCTTTAAATGCAAATGTTTTTTAAAATTTCTAAACCTTCTAGAAAATGCAAACATTTTTTCGAATTTTGCGAAGGTTCTCTTGAAAACGTGAATATTTTCCCAAAATATGAAAGTTTTCTGAAATAGCAAACAGACTTTGAAAAACATGAATATTTTTAAATTCTTAGTGATTTTAGAAACCATGAAAAAAATCTAATTTGCAAACATGTACTGAAACCGCAAATTCTAAACAATTTTTAATTACGGAAACATTTTTCAATTTTAAGGACACATTTTGAAAAATGGAAGACTTACAAAAAATACATTTTTAAATAAAAATTTCAAATAGGAAAGATTTTTATTTTTTTACTAATTCTAAAATTATGTTTTTTCTAGAAATAAAATAAAATTTTGAAAATACAAAAACGGGAAGAAAAGAAAAAACCAAAAAGGATAAGAAAAACCCATAAAAATGAAACAAAAAAATAAATAAAAATGGTTTATGAACCTTCCAAAATGGGTCGGCCCACTCGATGGTTGATCTGCTCATCCTTGCGCGTTCTGGCGACTTCTTGTCGTTACGAGCATCATTTATCGATTGCGATCTTTGTCTCAAAAAAAATTATCGATTGCGATCCTTAACAGTCCTAAAAATGATGAAGTCCTGGTAATTGTAATCAGCTTAGAAAAATCAACACTCAAAATATAATGAGATATAAATGAGTTATTTTGTTAAAAAAAGTGGCAATAGCATTTATTTTAGAACACATGCACCTACCATTGAACACCGTGTACCATTATTACTTGTGTGCGATTTAAGGAAGATTTTCCAATGTGGAGAAGTAGGAGTGAGAGCATGCTTGGATACGTTTTAGTCCCATGACTAAAAGTAGTGGGACTAAAACTTGCTAGTCTCACCCATGCTTGGATCCAAGTACTAAAGAGACTAAAATCTAGTTATTGAGCATTTATTATCCTCCAAACCCTCCAATCCAGAACTAAGGAGAGGAATTAAATGAGGAGAGAGAGAGCTAATACATATTTTAGTAGGTTTCCCATGACTAAAAGATTTTAGCCTCAAGACTAGTTCTAGCCTCTCTTTAGTCAGGGGTGCTTGGAACTTTAGCCTCTAAAAGAGACTATTTTTAGTCAGACTAAAAATAGTCCCTTGTATCCAAGCACCCTCTGAGTTGTATGGATTTGTTCCCTCCTGCATGTCAGGATTGATAAGAAAGAATTGCAATTTTGGTTTATCTATAGATAGTGACTATGTTTTGGGGAAATAAAGGTGGTTGATGGTAAGAAAAATCAAGAACTTATGAATAAAACACTTTATTATTTATATTTACAAATAGGAAACATTATACATTGATAATTTTACAAGCTTATCTAGTGCGCAACATAAACTAAAATCTAGTCAAATAATACAAAAAACCTTGTGTTATACTTAACACCATACACCTTTTTCTACATCTCTAGGCTCTTGATGATCATGGGGAGCCCGTACTTAGGCCGCAGCGTGATCACATCCATGGGGGCATGGACATACTTCGGTGATAGGGAGAATGAGAACATCTAAATAATCACGGCGATCACAGCCTTGGCCTCGATCATTGCAAAGTTCTGCCCTATGCACGACCTCGGCCCACTGGAGAAAGACAACAAGGCATTGGGGTGCTTTCCGGCCCTAGTCACTCCATTCTCGAACCTCATAGGCTTGAATTCGTTGACATCTTCTCCCCATACCTCCTTGTCACGATGTATCGTCGCGATGGGGATCGTTAGGACCATGCCCTCAGGCACTTTGATGCCACCAACCTCAAGATCCGAACCCGCATTCCTCTGAATGAGCGACACAGGGGCGTATAACCTCAGAGTTTCTAGTAGGAACATGTTGACCAAGTGCAGTTTGTTGAGCATGTCACCGGTAGGTACCTCACTGCCACACTCTCGTAGGACCTCCTCCCTGAGTTTCTCCTGCCAATCCAGACACTTTATTATTTACACTCACAAATAGGATACATTATACATCGATAATTTTACAAGCTTATCTAGTGCATAACATATACTAAAATCCAGTCAAATAATACAAAGTTGTGTTATACTTAACACCATACACATTTTCTACATCTCTGGGGTCTTGAGGATCATGGGAAGCCCAAACTTGGGCCGCAACGTGATCACGTCCATTGGGGCATGGACATACTTAGGTGATAGGGAAAATGAGAATCTCTGAAGAATCACGGCGATCACAGCCTTGGCCTCTATCATTGCAAAGTTCTGCCCAATGCATGACCTCGGCCCACTGGAGAAAGACAACAAGGCATTGGGGTGCTTTCCGGCCCTCGTCACTCCATTCTCGAACCTTATAGGCTTGAATTCGTTGGCATCTTCTCCCCATACCTCCTTGTCACGATGGATCATCGCGATGGGGATCGTCAAAACCGTGCCCTCAGGCACTTTGATGCCACCAACCTCAAGATCCGAACCCGCCTTCCTCTGAATGAGCGACACAGGGGCGTATAACCTGAGAGTTTCCAGTAGAAACATGTTAACCAAGTGCAGTTTGTTGAGCATGTCACCGGTGGGAACCTCACTGCCACACTCTCTTAGCACCTCCTCCCTGAGCTTCTCCTGCCACTCGGGGTGCGTGCTCAGCAAGAACATGGTCCATGTGAGCAGGTGCGAGCTGGTGTCATGCCCGGCAAAGAAGAAGGTCTTGCACTCATCTATGATCTCGTCCATACTCAAAATCGGATTATGGCCACCCTCTGCCGCGCACGCCTCTAACATAAGCCCAAGCAGGTCGTTGCCGTAGCCCATGGTGTCTTTGGTGGCAAGACGGGTTTTGATGATGTTCATCAGCATGGTCCTCACCTCCTTGTCAAGCTTCCATATCCTGAGGTTCTTTTCGGTTGGAAGGTACCTGATTAATTCCACAAACATAGATTAATTTCTGCTGTGTGTTGAGTTAAATTAAACCGACAACGGTACAAGAAGAAGAACAAGATGCATTTACCTTAATGCTGGGATTTGCACGTTGAATACGGTGGAGAAGGCAAGGAACTGGAGCTCCTTCTGCGCGAGGAAGACCTTTTTCCCTTGTTCGTAGCTGCTTCCGAATGCCGTGTGAGAGATGACATCCGCGGTGAGCTCCTCGAACTGGTGGCTCAGCTCAATCTCCACGCTGCCCCCCTTCTCCATCTTTGCCGTCCACTCCGACATCATTGACCCGGCACAGTCGGACATGGTCACCGTCATCATCTGCCGTACAGATAACAGTTAGCGGAAGTGATACGCATTGTGCATTAGTGAAATTCGAATGGTGGAAAACACGCACACGTCAGCGCGTGTCGCGCTGGAGATGGGCACATACCTTGAGCTTGTCCATGTTGAAGGCCGGGTGGACGACCTTGCGGTGGCGCTTCCAGTCGTCGCCGTCGGTGAGCACGAGCCCCTTGCCGAGCAGCCGGGCGATGTGCGGGTTCCCGAGGTTCTTGGGGTACAGCCCGCCGCGGTCGGAGAGCACCTGCTTCACCATGTTCACGTCGGCCACGCACAGGCTCGGCCTCGCCCCGAACCAGTACAGGAACGTGCGCCCTGCGAGGAAGGAAGAAGATGGATGACCAGTGTCGAACTACGGAAGCAATTGCAGTGTCTCTGAGTTTCGTACCGTGGATGGGGATCCATTTGTGGAAGTGCGGCTGGACCATGGGGACGAAGTCGTGGTTGCCGACGTCCAGCGCGGCGCCGGCGGTGTCGGCGCGGAGCCGCTTGATCTCGGCGAGGTTGCCGGCGAGGAACCTGTAGCCCGGCCCGCCGACGCCCTGCGCGCGGAGCTGCCTGGTGATGGCCCGCGGCCTCCACACGAGGTACACCAGCGCGTTGAACGCCCACGAGGCCAGCACCGCCGCCACGGCGGCCGCCACCATCCAGACGAGACCCATGGTGGACCGGACCGGTGGTCACTCAAGATTCAGGATAAGGGTGAAAATATCAGCGACCTGTAAATGTGTGTGTGTTTCCCTTGTGAGACTCGGGTCGGGGAGGAAGGTATTTATATGGCCTTTGTGGCTGCGTTTTGACCATGGCTTTCTGGTCGCCTGATTGCTGGCTACGCGCCTGTGACCCACCGCCACCGGGGTAGAGAAGGCAGAGGAGAGGCGTTTCCTCGCGGTGAGATCAGCCGTGATGCGTGCAAGTACGAGCCAGCCCCGGACGGGACGCGCACCAACTAGACTAGATGGTCCACAGCTCGTGGGAACGTGTGGTCTACCGGGAAGCCGTCGTACGCATGGTGCTGCTGGTCGACATCGACGGGATATCCGCACGGGGCTGGCTTCTAGACAAAACATTTTTCATTTTGACAAGATGGCTTCTACTCCGTAGTAGATAACGACACGTGGGTTGATATATAGCGATCAATGGTGCTTTCGAGCACACAACGGCAGAGGCTGTCGACACAGACATGGCTACATTGAGCGCCTGATTTATCCCAATCGACTTCTCTTACTCGCCAAGAATCTATTTCCTTGTCAAACATGGTCCTTCTAGAACGAGATGCTGATGCCTGCGTACAGATATTTCTTTAACGCGCCTCTTGTGGCGTAATTGGGCACGTGAGGCTTTCTTCTTCTTCTTTGCCCGGAACTTTTAATTCCTTGCAAACGTATAATGAGTAGTACTCAAACTAAAATCACGGCAAGTATTTTGAGACATAGAAAGTACATGAAAGGACGAATAAAATCATTTCATTGCTCTCCCGCCAAGTTGTTCTAGGAACAAGCTTATGCGCTGCTTGGTCTTTCGACACCGCGCTTGCACCCTGATACATGGTCTCGTGATATTGTATGTGATGGGATGTTTTCTGATAATGAGAGGGCTCAAATGATCTTAGTAATGTGGGCTATATGGCATTCAAGAAATAGAGTCACTCATGATGATGACCAACTTGACCTGTTCACTTCGGTTAAGCGAATTCAGGAGGATTTGGCTTTGCTTGATATTCCTCATTCACATGCGTCGGTGCTACCGGGCTATGGGTGGATACCTCCCGAATGTAACCCTTTCATTACACAGTTAATATCGCCATCACACGACTAGATTATGGAAAGATACTTGTAAGATCCAATGACTCGCCTATTTCTATGGGGCTAATGAGGACCAAAACATCCTTCTTTCATATAACTGAATTTATCATTGAAAACGGTAGCATAATTAGATTCTGAGAAGATACTTGGTTAGCGGAGACGCACTAGCCACACAATATTCTTCTCTCTATAATATTGTGCAACATAAGGACGCTTATATTGCTACAATATTACAGTCTGACCCTATAATATCCAATTCAGGAGGTCACTAGTAGGTGACCGATGAGACAGTTGGCTATATCTTGTGCGCAGGTTGATGTAGGTTCACCTCTTTGATGAGCCAGATACGATTCACTGGAAGTTATCTGTTATTCTTCGTCAAGTCTATGTATTTAGACTTAATTGATTATGGTCTAATTTCAAAATCAATTCATATTTGGAAGAATAAAATTTCTTGAAAAATCAAAATATTCATATGCTTTTGTTCATAGGGAAATGATTCTGACTAAGGATAATTTGGCCAAGCGAAGATGCGAGGGTAATAAATGATGTTGTTTTGTGATCAAGATGAAACCATAAAACACCTTTTTCTCAAATGTCCTCTTGCCAAACTTTTATGGTGTACAATTTATGTAGCCTTTAATATTAACCCTCCAACTAGTATTAACACATATTTGGGACGTGACTGGATGGAGTGGAACCAAGTATTGCAGGACATATTCAAATAGGACTATGCGCATTATTTGGCTATAAAATTGCAAGAATGACATGATTTTTAACAGACAAACTCTTATAATTTTTTGCAGGTTATATACAGAGCCACTGCTTAGATCCGTACGTGGTCGTTATTCAGTCGTGTGGAAGCCAAGGAGCATATGGCTATTGGGTGTAACCATTAGGAGACGGTAGCACGGGATACTTACAACAGATTTGAATGATGATCCAATAATAGGCTAGGTGTTTAGTTATCTTGAGTTATTTTTGCCGGTTGAGGCAACTTTTTTTATCACCTCATCATGTTATTTTGGCTCTTCTTGGAGTTCGTACTGTACCCTAGATCGTTTTTGAATCTTTCGCTTCCTACAGAACGTATCACTAAAATATCCGATAGGGCTAAGTGAAATGAAAAGGGTTTTTCATGAGATGGTAAATGAAAACATTAGTCCCACATAAAGTTTGAGAATAAGTGACTCTCTGATGATGAGCAAGGAATATACGTCTTTGTGCTAAAGGGGGTCTATTAAACTCATAATTCATTAGATCCTTATTATCAATGCCAACTAGGTATCATAAGTAAATGGATCCCGATTATTCAATCCTTTGATAACCAAGGCTATTCTTTGCTAAAGAGAAATGATCACTATGAGTCAGACTCAATAGAATTGGAACCATTCCAAATAGTGAGAATTAGGATTCTTGATCCCTCTCAATCTCTCTTTCAATTCGAGGATCCAGAGAAGTGTTCATCTCCGAATATTCAGCATTTCAGAATATTTTCTATTTCATTTTTCTATGATATGTCTTTCTATATGAAAATTGGTTATTTACAATGTACAATGATCCCTGTTAAGCATCCATGGTTGAATTGTTAAAGCGCAAAATTCATAATTGGTAACTTTGCAAGTTCATTTTCTGCTGGATGCACACGAATGGGAACATTTCATGAGTCTATTGAAACTGGCCCTCTATTCATGGAATCACATCCATCATCCATACACAACGAATTGGTATGGTATATTTATACCATAACTTCAGATGCAGAGGCAGGGGTGACCCTCCTTTTAAAAAAAACACCGCCACCACACGCGATGATACTGTAGTGATTTGTTTCACGCTTCGATCACTAGTCAGCTGCAAAGTGCTAGGGCCCCGATTTCTCGTAGACAGTACCAGTACCAGGCCGGTTTCGTCGTCTGTAAGAGAGTCTACAACCGAGTCTCTTGTACCCGTTTCAAATGTCCGGACAAGTTGTCCGGTTGTTAACCGGTCAAAAAAATCAACCCAATCAAACCTCTCAAACTACGGACAAACGCCCGGACTGACCGGCACCCCTCATATCCAGTCCAATATAGGGCGGATATGGGACGGCCCGGGCACGCCCAGGCGCGTCCGCCTGACAGGCCCGGGCCACCACCGACCCCACAAAAAACTCCGATCCTGACGGCGAGTTCAAACCCTAGCTCACTCTCTCCCCCTCTCTCAATGTGTTCACTCCTCTTCCTTTGCGATTCCGACCTCATCCACGACGATGAGCAGCTCTGGCAGCGTCTTTGGCTCGGAGCTCGACTATGAGGAGGAGATGGCCCTCCGCATTGCGCTGGAGCGGTCCAAGGTGGAGACCGGCGGCAGCTCCGGATCTGGAGCGTCGCTGCAGCTCCCGCGCCGGCGCAGCGCGGAGCTAGAGCTGGACCCTCCCGGCGCGCGCAGCGATGCAAGGACAGCACAGTCGGCGTCGGCCCCGCCCCCGCCGGCCGCTCCTCCGTGGCCACCGTTGGGTGCTTGTGCCTGCGCATCTGGCCCGCACGTGCACTCCGGAGTCGGAGGCGCGCCCCGCGTGCCGCGAGAGGCAACGTGCATGGGAGAGGGACGCAGCTGAGAAGTCCGAGGGACGGACGCGGACCCCGACGAGGACGTGCGTCTCCTCGCATGGGTCTACCGCCACTTCCGTCTCGACGACGGAGACGGACGCTCGCCGCCTCCGATGGAAGAACGCTAAGGCGCTCCGGCTTGCTATTGAGCAGTCGGAGCGCGAGGTGAAGGAGGCAGCGGCGCAGAAGGCTCGGGTCGCCAGGTTGAAGCGGGAGCAGGACGGGGCGGTCCGTCGGATGAAGGGGCTCATCGTCCTCTCTGACTTTGACTCGGACAACGGCAACAGTTGCACCTGCTCGCCAAAGGACCAAGACCTTCCACCAGCCATGGACGCCTACAACTGCGCCAGCGACAGGAAGGGCAAAGCCCCGGCAAGGAAGTGGTAATTCCGCCACCCCCCCCCCCTCTAATGTTTATATCGTTTTTAGTTGTAGAAGTTTAAGAACTTGTCCGGTAATGAACTATAATCTTTTGGATGCGGCGAAGTTTGGTAATGCCCGTTTGCAGCCGGGCTTGTTTTTTCTTTGTAGCCGATTTTTGTTGTCCGTCATTTGATCATTTAGGATAGATCAACGTTTTCATGTGTAGTATGGATATAAGGCGCCGGATATCAGATATGTGGATGCAGAGTGTCAACTATGAGACGTGCACGGTCAGTGCCCGCGGACGCGTCCGCGGGCGTTTGAGGGGCCGGATTTGGCCATCGTGGTTGTAGATGCTCTAAGGAGCTCGAGACAGCACGTGTGTGGTACAAAGTTCTACTATGAAAATATAAAATCCTCAGTTGTGTGATTTAAAATGATATCAGTACTCTGTTTAGAAATATTTACACATTTGAAGAAACAGCCGCGTATTTACCTGGGCCGCTATGTTATTTGTAAGAACGCCGCATGAGTACATATATAGCGATCTAGTATGACGTTGGCAGATTTCTCAAAAAATAGTATGACGTTGGCAAAGAACAGAGGCTGTCAACACATACACGGTCACCCAAGTTGAGCACTTGATTTTCTCCCAGCCCACTTGACTTCGCT